TACACCAACGTCCTGAACCCAGACTAGACTGCAACGAGACCCCTGAGATGCTTCAAGTTGAATCCGAACCGCCTGGCCGCCGCAAACAGATCAGCATGTCGCACATGCTCAGAAAGTTTCTTAAGGTCTAGCAGTACTGTCGCACTGTCCCTGCCAATGGCCCTGCAGAATGCGCCTAGCAAATTGTGGGTCCACCCCGCCCTCTCGCGCGTCGTCGTGGGCCCGCTTCCCCAGAAAAACTCCACATTGTGGGCCCTCTCCCATTCCCTGCACAAGGGTTGTCTGAGCTTACTCCGGAGTTTAGTAAACAGACACAGCAGCCCAATGGGCCGAGAACCTCCTTCTGGTTTCGGAATAAAGACAATATTCGTCACCAGCTCTATCATCCAAGACGGGCGATCCTCAAAAGCCTGGATAATCCTCAAGACCCTGACCTGGTACTCTAGGGGCAGCTGCAGGATCAGCTTAGGGTGGAACTGGTCCCAGCCGAGCCCTGCACCCTCCGAGTAAGACCTGCAGCAGTCCTGAAACGCCTCCAAGGGAATCGGGGGAAGCTGGCTGTCGCCGATGTCCCACGACCCAGGGTCCACGGCTTCGCGCCCAGACGGCGCCCACATCGGCAGCCACTCGTCGAGGAGCTGGGCTATGGCATCATCTCCGTTCACGGGGAGGCCCGAGGGATCCAGGACGTTGGAGGGGGAGATGCGCCTCTTCTTAGCATAGGCATGCGCAGCCCTCCCCCCTTTCAACACAGCTTCTTTAGCCCAGGTCCTCCACTTGCGCCCACGCTCGCTCGCATCCGCTCGCTGCAAAAAGGTAACGAAGCTGTCCAGCTCCGTCCACAACTTGTCGTCTGGCCGCGACCCGCCCTCGCTGATCTGACGGATCAAGGCGCGCAACTGCTGCTCGCACGGGCGCTCCACGCCCTCCTGTTGTTTCTGCGGGGCCGGGGGGTCCTCGGCATACATAGCACCTATCATGTCCAGAAGGGTGCTAGCCCAGCGCGAGGCCGCTCCCCAGCCCCGACGTCCAAGAACTCCAGCCGACAGCTTCGAGCCCCTGAGGGCCAAGCTCTGAAAAGCCATCCAGCACGTGGTTGACGGGCTGAACCTCCGACGAGCCTCTCGATCCCAGAGGGTTTGCAGGGGCGCCACAGACACCTGGGGGCCCAACCCACGGCCCATGTACGAACCACGCTGCTCACCGGGAACGTCGTGAAAGACCCCCAGCCAGGCCTCGGAATTGCTGAACCATTCCCGAACAGCTCCAGGAACATCAGCAGGGACCTCGTCGGGCCCGAGCGTCCAGTCGGCCAACCTTGGGGCCAAGTGCGGGCCAATGCAAGGGGCCACTGGCAACTTCGGCTTCCTGAACGACGACGCCCCCAAAAGATCCTTGAATACCGCCATCACTGGCACGTGCGGCGACGACGGGGCCGACACGAGGGCCACGACCTTGTGGATGCAATGCCTGAGGACCTTAGCGCCTACAGAGAAGTCGATCTCACTCCCCACCGTGACCCACTTCTCCGTCCCGTCCTCGTCCACCTCCTTGTGCCTAGTGACGCACGTGGGCACGCTCGGCTGGAAGATTGCACCTGCGATCGTGTTGAGGCACCCCGACTCGGCCAACTCAGCTGGCGCGCAGTTCCAGTCGCCCTCGACCAACCACGGGGAACCCTGGCCCAGGAGAAACGCCGCCAGACCTTGGAGAATCTCCCAGTTAGCAGGCCCCTTCGGGCCCTCCTTCACGCCCAGGTAGATCGACACAACCAGAAGTCCCCCAGGGAAGCCAGTGTTGATCTTGCGGACGACGACGCGGTGGCTGAAAAGCAGAAGGGGCCCATCCAGAGCCACAGGGCACGAAGGAACATGAGACTGCACAGCGAGGGCGACACCGCCTGAGCTCTCTGTCGGCCCAGATCCCGTCGCAACAGCACGGCCTAGCTGGACTGCAAGACTGCGGTTGCTGCCCCAGCCGTAGGCCCGCTCCTCGGCCGTCGGCACCTTCAGCCTGGTCTCCTGGATCGCAAAAACCTGTGGCGGGGGTCACTCCCCGCCCACTAGCTGCTTCGCCATCCCGTGGCCGCTGTCGACGTACCAGCCGTGGATGCCCTCGAAGCTGCTCCACGCATTCGCGTTCAGCCCGAAAAATACCAAAAAGTTCCCAACCTGCTTCGGGCTCTCGCTCGTCGAACTGCTTGCCGCCGAAGACCGCGTCTTCCTACACCGCCACGGGCGCAACGTGGGGACAAAAGAGCATCATCATGCTCGCCAGCCTGCACTGCAGCGACGCCCTCGGGCTGGACCACCTCGGGCGGGACCGCGGCGTCGGGCTGGGTCTGAACCGCGCCCGCCGCTCCGCGGGCCGCCTCGCCCTGGCCCATGCCCGAGCAACTGGCCGAAGCCGCGGCAGACCAGCTCGTAGCAGGCGGCGCACCCGCTGCCGCCGCCGAGAGGCACCTGGGAGGGGAGACTCTCCTCGCAGCAACTGCAATCAACTCTACGTCGGGCTCCCCGAGCCCTGCCACATCAAAGCCCAGGTTCGGCCACTCCAGGTCGACAGCGTTGGACTCCCAGAACCTGACCAGCCCATCTCCCGAGCTCGCCCCTGCCGATCCTGAAGGACAGGGAGCCGCCCCAGTCGAAGAACATGTGGCGCCCTCTGCCTGACCCCGCGCACGGGCTGCCCTGGGGTCGGGGACCCCAGCCGCGCGGGGGTCAGGTGAGTCTGGCGGCCGAGAAGGAGTAACCGAACACCCTGTCGACGCCCCTGAACTACTCGCACATGTGCCATCACCCTCTTCGTTGGCCTCACTCCCTCGTGGCGCAAGACCCGACATGGGCTGGCGCAGGGGTTCGGCCGAGGGGTGGCTGCCTCTCGCGGGCCCTGGCTGCCGTCCTCCACGATGTCGGCGACTCGCTGGTGGTCGAAAGGGCAGGCTGCCCAGCCGCGGCCACTCCTCGTCAAAGGCGCTGGCGCTTGGCTGCGTGCATCGCCAGGTACTCCGCGACGGCGGCCTCGGGGTTCTCTCCTTCCATGGCCATCTTGAGCCCAACGTGGAACTCCGAGCCCTCGAAGTCGGCTGGTGTGGGCGGCCATGGGGCCTGAGCCTGGCCACTGCCGCTTGCGCCTCCAGCAGGGGCCCCAGCAGCGCCAGCTGCAGCACCGCCGCCAGGATCCCTACCACCTTCAGCGGCCTTCCTCTCCGCCGCCTCCTTGGCTGCACGCTGCAACCGCTTGAGGGTCTGGAGCGCCTTCTTCCCTTCCTCGTCCTCGACCACCGTGGGGTCCAAGCCAGCCATGCCGACAGCCACGGGGTCGTCCACATCCTTGAAGTTGACTTTGTGCAGCATCTTCGTGTGGTGCTCGAGGTCCTTCCTCGCCTCAGCCAGCGACTCCGTGGCTTCGGCGATCCCCTTGAGGAGCTCCTGCTTCTGGATCTCGTACTGCTGGAGCCGCTCCTCGAGCTTCTCGACCTTCCGCGTAGCATTCTCGACACGGTGCCGAGCAGCCAGCGCGGTCGGCGGCTTTGCCTCGAGCTCCTGGACCTTGGCCTCCTCGACCTGAGCGATGAGCTCGGAGTCGATGCCGTGGCTCTTGAGGAAGCCGACGACTTGAGCGTAGCAGGGGCCATCGCCGCCAGCCGCGGGCGAGGGCCGTGGGCCTCCTCCTGCCCCGCCGCCGCTGGCTCCACCTCCTTTCGCGAGTGCCGCCAGCTGCTGCTTGAGCTCCTTGACCTCCTTGGCGAGCCGCGACTGGTCGCCGCCGCTGGGGCCGCTGCCGCTGCGCCCCTGCTGCAGGCGCCCTGCCTTGGCCGCTGCCGCGCGGGCATCCTGCTGGACCCGCACCGGCGCTGCCCCTCCGCAGCCGCGGCACTTGAGCCTGCTGGCCCAGTTGCCGCTCTCGCCGCACTTGCCGCATCCCCAGACTGGATACTTGGGGCCTGGCAAGACCTCTCCATCTGCACCCATGGACGGGGCGCGCACACAGAAGGTTTGGCTCGTGCCCACGAGCCGCTTCGAAGTACGTGGGCACAAGCTCGAGCTTCACACACAATCAGCCCGAGCCGAGACGGCTAGGAGGAGGAGGAGGAGGAGGAGGAGGAGGAAGAGGAAGGGGGGAGGAGGAGGAGGAGGAAGAGGAGGGAGGAGGAGGAGGAGGAGGAGGCGGAGGAGGAAGAGAGGAGGGGAGGAGGAGGAGGAGGGAGGAGAGGAGGAGGAGGAAGGAGGAGGGAGGAGGAGGGAGGAGGAGGAGGAGGAGGAGAGGAGAGGAGGAGGAGGAGGAGGAGGGGGAGAGGAAGAGGGGATGAGGAGGAGGAGGAGAAGGAGGAGAGGAGGAGGAGGAGGAGGAGGAGGGAGGAAGGGGAAGGGGGATGATGATGATGAGGAGGAGGAGGAGGCGGAGGAGGAGGAGGAGGAGGAGGAGGAAGAGGAGGAGGAGGAGGAGGAGGAGGAGGAGGAGGAAGAGGAGTAGGAGGAGGAGGTGGGCAGGGAGCGCGCTGAGGAAAGGAGAGGGGGGCCAAGGTGTCAGGGAGGTCCCATATGCTCAGTCACGATTCCCACGCGCGCACACGCTTTGGCGTCGGCGGCCAGGCAGAGCGACTGCGCTGGCGAGTGGAGCGAAACGGGGCAACGTTCAGCGAATTCCAACACAGGCACACACACACACCTACATGCAGGTGTTGAGCACCCGTTGGCATGGCCTTGGCCCCACTGGCCGACTTGATCCTCCAGGTGGGGACCTGTGCTGTTCCCTCCGGGTCTCGCAGGACCTAATTATGCCCACCTGGGGGGTGGGGGCTGGCGGTTCAGAAGAACCATGGCCCGGTGGGGATGGGGAGCAGTCAGACGAGGCGGAGGTCCTCATCCCCCTCTTGGACGCCCAAGCCGCCTACCCCCCACAGCGCAAGCGGCGAGCCGCTGGTGCTGCTCTCCCCTGGCCGCCCCGCCTCCCCCTGCCCCCGACAGCCCCCTGCTGCCGCCCCCGAGCTCGAGCGCCTGCACGTTGAGGCCACGGCTCCGCAGCATGTCCTCCTTCGGGGCGGGTGGGGTGCGGCAGGGGCCAGCGAAGGCGCCGACAGTCGGCGGCGCGCCCAGGGAGGAAGGCAGAGGGGGCGGGCCTTCTCAGAGGGCTCAGAAGGCCTCTGGCCTCCTGAAAAGCCTACTGAGGCTTCTCCAAAGCGCCGCCGCCTTGTGAGAAGGCCTGGCCCCCTCCCACTTCACCCCTCGGCACGCCGCCAAGGGCCGACAGTGGACACGAGGACGGAAAATGCGGACCTCCCCGCTCTCGCCCTGGGCAGGCAATGCCGTTTCTGGCACGGGGCGGGGTCGCTACAGCCCGCGGTCTTCGGCGCCCGGTCCCTGGCTCACTCGGCACGTGGCCCCTGGCCGGGTGCCTCCGAGAACCGTGCGCAGCCAGGGCCTGAATCGCCGAGCTGAGAGATCTCTGCATCAGTGGTGGAGGACAGGGGTGGTGTGGACCAGGGAGCGCGCGAGCACACCCGAGACGCGCTGGAGGCCCCGCGTGCACACTCGGACAGGCCGCCTTGATTGGCCGGCGCAGGTGCCGCTGGCCAGAGTGGGTCGCCAAATCGATCGGGGACACGCGCGCTGGCCACCCTCCGGACCGCTCCTGCCGCCCACCGGTGTCGCCCCGAATGCATTGACGGCGTGCGGCTCAGATCAAACCGAAGCAGGCGCCAGCGATGTATGAACAAGGCAAGTCAGCTCGAAACCAAGCACCGAAATAATCGAAATCTGGCGCTTCGCGCGACTCTCAATCTTAGGCTCCATACGCAAATGCATAACCACAGCCGAACAGGAAATTATGAAGAGTCCGACGCGAAGCCACGGGCTGGAGCAGCGACCTGCCTGAATCAGCACCACGGCGTCGACATTATCTAACTTGCACGGGAATCATTTCCGAATGGGAAGACGACACAAGCGTTGCATCGGCGGTGGACAAACCTCCCTTTAGTAGACCTCCCCTTAGCGAAAACGGCCTGGGACCGAAACGGACGGACCTGGACCCCCAAAAATGACGGCCGCGACGCCCTCTCGCAAAACGAAAACGGCTAATTCCTTAATCGACGTGTCAGGGTAGGTTTGTCCACCACCGATTGCATGTCCATGATGGACGGCATGGGATTCTTGCAACATGTGGCATCGTGCCATGCTGAAAACATTTTCCCCCAGACAGCGCTTGCACTTAGGGGTTCTTGGTTCTGCTCTAAGGAACTGGGACTGGTTGCCGGGTCCACCGCCTTGTTGTCGCCGTCGCCGCCCAGTCGCCGCCTCGTCGCCGCCCGTCGCCTGGGCCTGGTCCCCAGGTCCGCTGCCTTGTTCTCGCCGTCACCGCCTCGTCACCGCCTCGTCGCCGCCTGTCGTATAGGCCCCTTTCCGTCGCCGCTTTGCACACTCGAATATTTGTTTACATTGCTTTGCATCGCTTTGCATTGCTTGGCATTGCTTTGCATTGCTTTGCATTGCTTCGCATTGCTCTGCATTGCTGTGTGTTGTTTTGCATTAGATGCTGTACATTGATTTGCAATGCTGCGCGTTGCTTTACATTGCTTTGCATTGCTTTGCGTTTATTTGCAGTGATTTGGATTGCGCTGCCTTGCCTGTGCGTCGTTTGGCATTGCGCTGCATGCCAGTGCTTTGCTTTACTTTGCATCGCTTCACATCGCATTGTTTCGTATTGGTTCGCAATGTGTCGCATTGATTTGTATTGAATGGTTGTCATTGTTTCGCATTGCTTTGCACTGATCTGAATTGCTTCGCATCGCCTTGCCTTGCTTTGCGGTGGATTGCTTTGCATTGAAGTGCTTTGCAGTGCTTTGCCTTGCTGTGCGTTGTTTTGCATCGCTTTGCGTTGCATGTCTTTGCAGTGCTGTGCATTGCGTTGCAGTGCTGTGCACCTTTACCTTGCTTTGCATGGTTTGCGTTGCTTGTCGTTGCTTCGCATTTCGTTCCATTGGCCTGCATGTCTTTGTATTGCTATGCATCGCTTTCCATTACGCTGCCGTGCAATACGTTGCTTTGCATTGCCGCGCGTTGGTCGGGCATGGGTTTACATGGCTTCGCATTGCTTCGCTCACGTTGCGTTGCGTTGCGTAGCATTGCTGTGTAGTGCTTCGCTGTGCGTTGCTTGCGTTGCACTGCAATGGTTTACATCAAGTTGTACGGATGTGTCTTGATGTGCAATGCTTGGCATTGATGCGCACTGCGTTGCATTGCTCTGCGTTGCGTTCTACGGCTTTGCATTGCGATACGTTGCATGAATGTGGTGTGCATTCCGTTGCAATGCTTTGAGTTACTGGTCGTTGCGTTGCATTGCCGTGCATTGCTTCGCACTGTTTGACACTGTGTTGTATTGCAGGACGCGGTGTTGCATTGCTTTGCGCCGCTTTGCGCTTCATAGGCTGCACCACATGGATTGCACCATACAGATTGCACCGCTTTGAGTGCACCACCTAGATCGCACCACGCAAATGGTAAGAAATCAGTGCTTGGGACTACACTGGCTAAAATGTGTTGAATGTGCGGGGTTGCTGGGCATGGGACTTTAAAGCCGCTAAGACGCCCAATACCACCCTAGGACGACCCCAGGCAGCTAAAGGCGACCTCCTTACGGATCGAATGGACTGCCCAAATGGTCTGATTCGGTCGATGCTGTCCAGGTGTACATCCAGAACGCCCCTGGGACCGCTCCCAGGCAAATGCCCATCGCCTGTACAGTGCATCCAGGGTCCCAAGTCCGAAGCTGGTCACAGCTTCCGCGCGGTACGGCACGTAGACACAATGGTGCACCACCTGGCGCGGATAGTAACGCACATAGCTTTTGTATCCGGCGTTCGGTTCCCCCCCCGATCGTAATCTTGAGCTCGGCCTGGGCGAGCCGAAGCAGCTCGGTGGTGCAACAGTATGTCGGGAGCCCGTGGGGAGGAGGGGCAAGGCTCTTCGCCATGCGCCCAATACTTAAGATCGGGGGGAAGGGGGGGGGACGAGCAATGCAGTATAGGTGCCAATGCGAGGCAACAGAGGTGCAACATGTCGTCGATGGACGGCAACCGCGCTTCACGTGGTCATCCCACCAGCCCTCTGCGCGTATGTGGTTTGGCGGGCTCTCTCTCTCTCTCTCTCTCTCTCGTCTAATACCGTTCTTCCTTTTCTGGGCAACCCCCTCAACCCCGCGCCGCAACATGTCCTGCCTCTCGTGTGGACTGGAGGGGGGGGCAGGATGGCATGGCGGCTGCTCCTGGCAAGCCGCGGGGAAAAGGACGAACCATGCATGAAAACCCTTTGTCGGGCGGTGCCTCCGAGTTGGATGTCTGGGACGGGCTCTTGCGAAACTGTGTAAAACGTTTTGGGGGGCGCGCTAAGCTATTGGGGAGCGCGCTCGGGGCGCCCTGATGGGGAGCCCGGTTGGGGCCTCTTGGAACCTGCAGGGAGGTCATGTGGGCTCCTTGGGGCATGTCGGCCAATCGCGGTGATCATTGGGTATTCAAAAATGATGGACCCGATCAACCAAGTGCGCAAACCGCCTGACGTATCCCCACAATCTGACCGCGAGCGGGCAGGTGTCATACCCCCCCCTGGCGGCTCCTCCTTGGGGGGGGGGGGCAGTCCAGATGCCGCGCCTGCTGCATCGCGGCGACGGCGGGGCTCTGAACAGAGACGAGCCTCATCAGCCAAACGCGGCGCAAACCGCCCGAGACCTCCCCACAATCTGGCCGCAAACGTGCAAGTGTTACACTCCATGCATTTTTCGAGCCCTCTCTCCTCCACTCGCCCCCCCCCCCCCCCGGGTGAGACTCTCCTCCTCCTCCTCCTCCTCCTCCTCCTCCTCCTCCTCCTCCTCCTCCTCCTCTCCTCCTCCCTTCCTCCTCCTCCTCCTCCTCCTCCTCTCCTCCTCCTCTTGCTCCTCCTCCTCCTCGCTCCTCCTCCTCCTCTCCTCCTCCTCCTCCTCCTCCTCCTCCTCCTCCTCCTCCTCCTCCTCCTCCTCCTCCTCGTCCTCCTCCCCCCTTCCTCCTCCTCCTCCTCCTCCTCCTCCTCCTCCTCCTCCTTTTCCTCCTCCTCCTCCTCCGCAAAAACCAAAAAACAATAGTTACCAATGGCACGCCGCCGTGGGTGGGGAACTCATCCGCGTGCCGCTGCTGAAGAAACGCAGTGCCTTCTGACAAGAAGGAAGAAGGAACGCGCTGAGCGGCTTCCAACGGCGGCGCGTCATTGATACTGTTGTTTTGGGGGGCAATGATAAGTGTGGGGGGGGAACATCGACCTGGAATCGACGACACATCGCCGACAGATCGGCGATAGGCCCCCGATAGCGAGTCCGCACGCTCCTGGGCTGGCGAGGGCTGTCAGGCCCTTGTCGGCGATGCATGGGCGGTTGGGGGTCGATGCGTCACCCCCGGAGCCTCTGCCCCCCCCGCCTGCCGTTGCCCCTGATGGGGGCCCCAAGAGGATACACCACCACGTCGATTCCCCCTCCCTCCTCTACCCTCCTCTTTCTCTCCTCGGGAAGAGGAGGAGGAGGAGGAGGACCGACAGGACATCGAGCCGATAGCGATAGGAGGAGGAGGAGGAGGAGGAGGAGGAGGAGGAGGGAGGAGGAGGAGGAGGAGGAGTGGTGTACTGTATGTTCGGGCCCCCCACCTGATCTTCCCTCCCGGCGAGCCCCACGGCGGCAAGAGGGGCCCGGAGCGCCCCCCACGCCTTCTGGAACGCCTGCCCGCTGTCGGCCATGGACACGACGCTCACGGAGCGCCGCTCCTCCGCGGCGATGGCCTTGTTCCTCGCTCGGGGCAGCCAACGCACCAAACAGTAAAACCTCCACGATCATCCTTCTCCTCCTCCTCCTCCTCCTCCTTCTCCTCCTCCTCCGCCTTCTACTCCTCCTGCTCCTCCTCCTCCTCCTCCTCCTCCTCCTTCGTGGCAGCCTGTCATAGCTCGGACGTCCAACATCCGTGCACGGCTCGGTTTCGTGTGTTTGTGTGTGTTTGTGTGTGTTTGTGTGTGTGTGTGCGTGTGTGTGTGTGCGTGTGCGTGCGTGTGTGTGTGTGTGTGTGCGTGTGTGTGTGTTTTTCGCAGGGTGGTCTAAGCTGCTCCTGGATTCGGCGGCGAACCCGGGGGGAAGCGAGAAGGAGAAGGCCTTCTCAGAAGGCTCGGAAGTCCCCCGGTTTTCTGAGAAGTCTTCTGAGCCTCCCCCGAACGACGCGGCAAACCTCTCAGAAGGCCGAAAGGCTTCTGGGAAGTCCCGCCGCCTCCTCAGAAGGCCTTCTCCTTCTCGTTGTCCCCCCCCTCGCTCGCCGCCGAAGCTGGTCCAACACTTCTGGCGCTGACCTTAGGTCGGGCGTGTCCCCCTACATGCGGATTTAGGACGACAGATAAAAAACACCCCCAAAACATATCCCCCCAAAATCCCCAAAAGTAGTCACAACAAACTCGTCCCCAGAATACTTGTGGATTCTGTTTTGAATGTTCCTCCTGTAGAGGGACAGGCCCGACTTCACGCTGGCCCCGCCGAAAAAATACAGTGGCGGGCGGAGCGGAAGCGCCGAGCGGCGAGGGGCGCGGCGGACCGAGAGAGAGAGAGAGAGAGAGCGAAGGAGAGGGGAGGGCCAGCGACCGAAACGCGGGAAGCGAGGGAGGGGGGGGAAGGAGAGAGGGGCGGCGGGAGGGGGGAGGGGGGGCACAGCTCCCTCTCCTGCAGCGTCCACCCCCAGATGTGTGTGTGTGTGGTGTGTGTGCGTGTGCTGTGTGTTTTTGTGTTGTATGTTTTGTTTGTTGTGTGTTGTGTGCTGTGTGCTGTGTGTTGTGTGGTGTGTGTTGTGTGCTGTGTGCTGTGTGCTGTGTGCTGTGTGTCGTGTGCTGTGTGTGTGTGTTGTGTGTTATGTGCTGTGTGTTGTGTGTTGTGTGTTGTGTGTTGTGTGTTGTTGTGTGTTGTTGTGTGTTATTGTTGTTGTAGTTGTTGTTGATGATGATGATGATGATGATGATGATGATGATGATGATGATGATGATGATGATGATGATGATGATGATGTGTTCGTGCGTGTGTGTGTGTGTATGTGTGTGTGTGTGTCTGTGTGTGTGTGTGTGCGCGTGTGTTCCCAAACCGTGGTTCTCTGTTTCAGACGGCTCTGCTGCCGCTTGGTGTTGGTGGGTTTGTGGGACACATGTGATGAGATCTGAGAGAACATGTTCAGCAACAACGGCCCAGCCCGACGTCACTGCAGCCGGGCCCACCCGGAGACGGTGCCAGCGCGAGCCGAGCTAGAGGAAAGCTCCGCGCAATATTGGAAGTATCGACTTCCCCGCTCGCACATCATATGCCTAATTCATGATGCTCCTCTTCCTCCTCCTCCTCCTCCTCCTCGTCCTCGTCCTCCTCCTCCTCCTCCTCTACATACCCCCTAGGCAAGGCCCTTTGTCTGCTCCGCTTTCTTCACCCATGCCCCGCAGAAGATGTTGACATCATCCATCCATTCGTTCCCTCTCACCTTGCTGCACCCTTCCCCAGTCAAGCTATACCGATTTCCATTCCAAAGCCGCCTGTGGCTTGCGCTTCCCCTGCCCTCACTCTAGAGATCCGCCACTGCCCTTGGCACGAAGTGGAGTGCCCCAAGGCTCTCAGCTGTGCTGCTGTTGCTGCTGCAGCCAGGGCTCTAGATTCTTAAGGGCCCAGACCCCTGGTTTCCCAGCGTCTATTTCTGGGAGCTCCTGGGATGTGTCGTGTGCGTCTTCTGGAAGCCAGGAAGGTCGCAAGATAGGCCTGGAGGAACCACGGAGGCCGCGAACACGGCCCCAAAGAGACTCGAGCCGCCTCAAGACCGCCCCAGATGCTCAAGATGGCTGGAAGACGGGCCAAGAGGCCTCCAAAAAGGCTCAAGTGAGCACCAACAGCGCCCCAAAGACAACCCCAAGAGGCCCAAATCATCCCAATCCCTTAGAAAATTATCTGTTGTGTTTGCAGGTTCCGTTGATCGGGCTTCACAAAATCCAGCAGTCCTAGAAACCTCCAAGATCTTCCCAAGACAGCCCAAGAGTCCGCAGTGTCGCCCCAAGACGGTCCAAGACGCCCTGAAAAGCGCCCCAAGACGATCCAAGAGGGCCCCGAGACGGCCCAAGAGGCCCCCAGGACGGCACAAAAGGCACCCCAAGGGGCCCAAAGAGGGGCCAAAGCGAAGAAACCAAACTGGAGTTTCGAGCCTTTCCCCACAAGACGGTACCCAAGGCCCCCGACACGCCCCAGAGAGGCCCCTAAGAGGCCCAAACGAGGCCCTGAGAGGCCCCCAAGAGGATCCAAAGAGGCTCCCAAGAGGCTTCAAACTAAATCCAAGAAGGCCCCGATAGGCATCCCAAGACACGAGAACCTGCATCCAAGAGGCTTCTGACCCACAACCCTGGTGCGGTGGCGGGATGGGTACAAGGCCATTACATATCCAAACGTCCTGGGCTGGAGCCCACGGGCGCAATCCGGCCAAGGGCGGATATCACAAAGAACATATAGAGAAACGCTGCGGATATGCTATGAGCCTCGTGACCGGGCGCCAACCCGCCTGTCACCTCGGAAAGTTGCTACAGGTGCCGGTGGTCGGAACACCGATCTCGCGGAGGCCTCGAGAGGTCGGCCCGGACACTCGAGCCGTCTGTCTGCCGACGCAGCTCCAGGCGATCGAACGATCCCCCCAGGTGGGCCCAGCGTGGTCCCACACCGCCAAGGCACGGCCACGTCTGCAACATCGGGAATCCCGCCCGGGGTCCCCGGGGGAGCGGCCGCCCTCCGGGGCGGGCAGATGCTCATCTCTCCCCCACTCCTCGAGGTCGCCCCAGGGCACGACCCCGAAGCGGTGGATAAGGGTGCACTCTGGCGGGTGCGGCCAGGCACGTCCCCAAGGCCTGCCAGACGGCCCAGGAGTCCAGGAGCGGCACCACCGAGCGCCGGGAGGCAAAACACGGGGCTCCTCCTCCTCCTCCTCCTCCTCCTCTCCTCCTCCTCCTCCTCCTCCTCCTCCTCCTCCTCCTATCCTCCTCCTATCCTCCTCCTCCATATCCTCCTCCTCCTCCTCCTCTCCTCCTCCCTCCTCCTCCTCCTCCTCCTCCTCCTCCTCCTCCTCCTCCTCCTCCTCCTCCTCCTCTGGAACACAGCGCGGAGAGAGGGAGAGAGGGGCGGAGCGGCGTCGAGCACCGCGCGCGCCCACAGCGCGCCACCGGGCCAGAGCCTGGGCGAGCGCCCCAACACAACGTGGGGCACCCCAACACCGCGGCAGAGAGGCGCAGCTGCGGCGCCGGCGGGGAGCATGCCTCTTTTGAGTGTTTTCTTAGGGTGGAGGGCTCAGGGTGAAATCCGTATGGACTGTTGCACCTCGAAAACCAATCCGTCTTGCGATTCACCTTTTGCAAACTCGGGCCTCGAAAATCCAGCGAAACGGCATTTCAGGTTTCACCGTTTGCCCTCCACCCAAAGAAAATACTCGCTCCTTTGGTAACGAGATCGCTGCATGGCTCGCTCGCTTTTCGTACCGGCCCGACTGCCACGGGAAGTGGTGCACGGGATCCCCTCCGTGCATGAGCAGGTTCAGGTGGGGGAGGAGGAGGAGACGGAGGAGGAGGAGCATGTGCTCATTACCCCTGGTGCGTTGCAGAAATAGAATGCCTGTGCAAGGATACCCGTCGGTCGTAAGAAGTGGGTAGAAACATGAAGTGGGAAGGCATTGAAGTAGATTGGGCTTCCGCCCGCCCCTGAAGAAGAAGGAAGAGGGGAAACCTCTCGACCATTGAAGTAGGAAGGCACCTAACGTCGACTGGGATCTGGAAATCCAGAACTACCTACCTTCAACGACCGACGGGCAACTGGGTGCGTAAGTGGCGCCTAGGCCGTTTTCGCGCAGAGGGGGCCCAAATTGTTTTTGCGCTGGCCCCAGGCCAGGAGGTGCCATGCCTCCCTCGCTCGCCGCCTCGCCCCCCTCGCACGCCCACCCCCGCCCTTCCTCCAACATCCCCCCCTTCCCTCCTGACCCGTCCTGAGAAGTAGCCCGCACGAGGATAAGCTCGGGTGGGGATACATCGAGAATCTCTGAGATCCGGCAGCTCTGGAGGATGGCTCGGGCGCCGCAGCCTTCTCAGAGCGTTCCGGAACGCTCGGAGAGCGTGCGTTCCGGAACGCACGGATGTATCCTCTTCCTAGCCCCGTCCCCTTCCCTCCTGACCCTCCCCCCCCGCCAACGCAGCCGTCCACCCCGCTCACCGGATCCCCTGAGAGTTGTAGACTCAGTAGTCCTGGCTTCGGAGGGGGGGTCCGTGCAAAGCAGAGCTCGGCTGGCCAACGGAAGGTGCGTGTGGCTGGGGCTGGAGAATCGAGGACAGAGAACTATGCACATGCACCGATTCTGGCCAGGCCCATCCTGAGCCCAGGATCGGTGCATACGCCCTCCTACCTCGGCCAGGAAGGCATATGCACCGATCCTGGGTCAAGGATGGGCCTTGCCAGGATCGGTGCACGTGCATAGTTCTCTTCGCCCGAGGAGGGATTGGCAGGGAGGCGCCAGGCTGACTCGGAAACCTGCCACGGCCATAGAATCTCGCCCTCGGCCCCCCAAGGCCCCCAAGAATGAAGGGGCCCCAGGACACACAAAGACATGCACACGAATAAAACAATCCCCCATATAATCCTAATTTTGGGGGTTTCGTCTTCCCCCCACTTCCCATATTTTCCCATATTTTCGGGGGAATCGACGATTAATTGTGCCTGTGTGTTTTTTCCCTCCTGAAAGAAACCTCCGAGAAGCTCCAAGAGGCCCCCAAAAGGCCCTCAGAAGCAGCCCCCGAGAGGCGCCCAAGAGGCCCTCGGGAGCAACACGCAACAACCGCCGCTCCCCCAAAAGGGGTCGCCGGTGCGAAGGTAAGCCCAAGAAGCTCGCGCAAGATGTGGCCGGGGCTGGCGGTGGGAGCAGGGCCTGCCTCAGCCACGGCGCCATCCTCCCGCGCCGGTTCGGCCACGCACGCTCGGGGAGGCGGCCCCCGTGGTCCTGGCGAGCTCCGGGTTCAGGCGCAGCACGTCCTGCAGGACCCTGGCCCGCGGCGGCGCCACCCCTCAGCGCCGTGTCACCGGCCCCGCATCCCCGCCCTCATTGCCCTCGAGACCCCCACCAAAGCACCACCCCAGTTGGGGGTATGTCCCCATCTTGGGCGAGCAACGACATATGTACATGTACGCCCTCCGCGGTCTTGCCTGCACGAACGTCCGCGTTGACACGCACTCCAGGGGAAGCTAACCGCGTACGTGTACATATGCTGCTGGCCTCATCTCGGGGAGTCAATCGGCCAGTGGGGCCCTGGCCACGCAGCCAGCGATGGAGATGGGCCAAACGGTGCTCCACCCCGGGGGAGAGCGGGAGGGGCAGGGGGCGGGCGCGGAGGGGCAAAGGGGGGCAGGGCGGCGGAGCCGCCGAGAAGCGGGGGGGGGGGGGCGCAGGCCGAGCGTGCCCGCTGGCCCTGGCAGCGGCCCTGGGCGAGGAGGCCGCCATCTCGCAGAGGCGGGGAGGCGCGGGGCCCATGCCCACCAGGCCGGCAGGCCGCTCGTCCTGCGGATTCCGGCGGCAGCCCGGGGCGAGAGCACCGCCACCGCAGCAGTGGAGTCCCAGCAGCCCTTTTCGGGAGCGGCCAAGAGGGGGGTGTCCAAGAGGGGGGGGTGCAAATCATGACCGGCGGCATGTGCGCGGCCCAGCGTGGGGGCCGGGGACGTAATGAATCAAGAAGAGGCGCCCTGAGATCTGGGGAGATATCATGGCCCCCGCCATGATATCCACCCCCCCTAGTCATCACCCCCCTCTTTTCCGCCCCCGACCTCTGGCCGGAGGAAGCTCAGGGGGCCGGTCGGCTCCTGCACGCCACAGCTTCCCCCTCTGGGAGGCGTCGGCCCCGCTCCCCAGACGGCCTCCCAGATGGTATAAGACAGCCCAGGTTGGAACAAGATGGCCTCAAACATGCTTCCAATATCGCTACAGGACGGCCTGAAGTGGCCACGGAGCCTCCCAAGAATACCTCAGAGAGGTCACCGTCCGACAGAACCCAACTTTCTCAAGAGCGTTCGTTCTCAGGCTTGGGGCCCTAGCACCGCCACAAGACAGCCCCATAGGGGCCAAAGAAATGCGTAAGAGAGCCCGAGAGAGCCCCAGAGAGCCCCAGAGGACCCCGAGAGCACCCGAGGAGCGCCCCGAGAGAGCCCCCAACAGGCCTGCAAGGAACGATTTCGATTGTCGGGCCCCAGAGGGGCGACGCTAACTTGAGACCTCTCTTTTTTGCTCGAAGGTCCTTGCGATGGCTCCAAAACCGTCCAACAAATACCAAATAGGGCCGCAAGAGGGCCATCCTGGCATCCAGAACGGTCCGAAGCTGGCCCTGATGGGAGCTCCGAGAAACCTTCAAGAGTGACGGCACCTCGCCTGCGAATCGTCGATTGACGGGCTGGCGGGAATATGCGAAGCGTCAGTAGGCCCTCGCAGCGACGGAGCCGACATCCACGTCTAGGAAAACGGACTGCAGGGGATACGAAACTACAAATCAACACCGAACACCTGGATAGCGATACGTCCATCTTTGTGAGCCGCCAGGCATCGCACACAGCTCAGAGGGCGCATCGGTCTTACTCCAGGATCCTCGCAGCCACGACCGAGGTGGCCGTTTATAGGAGGTTGGGAGATGAGATCGCAGTGGGACGGAGAGCCCCCCCACCAGGAAATCGGTTTCGGTTTCGTGTTCGTGTCGTGCGTGCGGTCGAGGCGAAGCTGCGTGGGCGCGCGAGAGGAATGATCCCGCCGTCACGAGGGCGATTCGGATGCAAAAGTCCGGCCCTGGGGTGGGCGCGCGGTAGATGGGTGTCTCGCCGTGGTGTCTCGCGGTGTTCCAGTGGTGTCCCGCGGTGTCTCGCCGTGGGCGCGCGAGAGGAATGATCCCGCCGTCGCGAGGGCGATTCGGATGCAAAAGTCTGGCCCTGGGGTGGGCGCGCGGTGGCTGGGGGTGTCCCGCCGTGGTGTCCCGCGTTGTCCCGATGGTGTCCCGCGGTGTCCCGCCATGGTGTCCCGATGGTGTCTCGTGGTGTCCCGCGGTGTTCCAGTGGTGTCCCGCGGTGTCCCAATGGTGTCCCGCGGTGTCCCGACGTGGTGTCCTGATGGTGTCCCGATCGATCGTGAGATCGATAATGGGATCGATAGAGTTCGAGATGTGGTGAGATCGATAGTGAAATCGATCGTTGGATCGATAGTGCATTCGATAGTGAGATCGGTGATTGCATCGATCGTGCGAGCGGCAGTGACATCGATAGCGAGATCGATAGTTGCATCGATAGTGCAATCGATAGATACCCATAGTCCATAGTGAGGTCGGTAATGCGATCGATTGCGAGATCGTCAATCAGATCGAAAGTGGGATCGATTGCGAGCTCGATTATAAGATCGATTGAGATCGGTTAAAAGATCGAATGTGAAATCGGTAGTGAGGTCGGTCGAGTGAGGATCGTTCACTAGTGAAATCGATGGTGCCCCGATCGTACTTGGCGCCACGCAATGTGAGATCGCTGCCAGGACCGATCGCTGGATCCATCGGTACTGGCACTGGCCGCGAGGTCGATGGCTAGATCGACCGGGTGAGATGGATAGCGGGGTCGGTAGTGTTAAGTCTGGCCTGTCCCCCTACAGGGGGATTTTGGAAGACAAATAAAAAATACACCAAAATTAACCCAAAAATAGTCCAAACATAGTATGGGGACTATTTGTTTGAGTATATTTTACCTGTTTGGGGCATGTTGGGGGTATCTTTTTGTCTTTCGTCGAAAACCCTCCTGCATAGGGGGGACAGGCCCGACTTAACGGTGGTGACATCACGTCGCGGCGCCAGCGCACGGCACCAAGCGGACAAGCTCTCCGCCGCCTCCGCTGCCTCGGACTCCCCCGCCCGGGCCGAGACGGAGGCACCGACGCACTGGAGCACGGAGAGGCGCCGCGTCCCGCCCAGGACGGGGAGGGACCGTGTCCCGCCCGGGGAGGACTGGCGGCCCGAGAGCCCGCGTCCCTCCTCCTGAGTCCTCGTCCTCCCTCCGCCTCCTCCTCCTCCTCCTCCTCCTCCTCCTCCTCCTCCTCCTCCGCCCTCCTCCTCCTCCTCCTCGCACCTCGCGCCTCCCTCCTCCTCCTCGCGCCTCGCGCCTCGCGCCCCCGGGCAGCCCAGCACGGAGAGGGACCGTGTCCCTGCCCCCATGCCCGCGTCGATGGGTCCCCTCACGAGGGCCCCGCAGAGGTGGGCGCCAGGCCCGGCGCCCCTGGCCAACGCCGAACTCGAACGCCGCCGCCAGAGGATGACGAGGAGGAGGGGGAGCTAGAGGACGCCGCCGCCGGGGAGGAGGAGGAGCAGGAGGGGGCCCGCGCCGACCGGCGAAACGATACGCAAGAAACGGCGACCGATGTTGAGAGGTTGCTCGCATGTCAGACACCATGCCGCAAGCGTCTGCAAATCTTCTCAGACGAGGCTCCTGGAGCGGGAGAGAGCTTTCGCTCGCAAGTGCGCAAGCAAGCGGCAACCACGAAGGACGTAAGAAGCTAGGAGTTGAAAGGCCAAGCGATTTCGCTCGCCTAGCGTGAGCCGGTCTGATTATTGACAAAGCATACATCCGGCCCTCATCAACGGCGTCTGCGGCCGAGAAGAGCACCACGTCGGAAGCGCAGGTACCTCGCCCAGCGGAGGGAGGACCAGCACACCCAACAGAGGGGGTGCAACTGGCGGGCGAATTCAAACGTCGTGCTGCTGTCCGACAGTGTCCAGCGCCGAGGGTCGCCATCCCCACAGAGCGGATCCTTCATCGCCGCTCTGGCTAGGCTATCGCGCAACACTGCTGCTGCTGCTGCTGCTTGGTGGGCTTGATGTCTGGCGCGTCCCCCGCCACGGCGAGCGTGGAGCAGTCGGTGGCCGCTCTCGCGTCCCCCGCCACGGCGAGCGTGGAGCAATCGGTGGGCGCCCTCGCAGTCGACGCAGTGGTCGCCCTCCCCGACGCTCTGGAGTTGTCCCCCGCCACGGCGAGCGTGGAGCAGTCGGTGGGCGCCCTGGCAGCTGACGCAGGCATCTCTGCACCTCCCTCTGCTGCCTCTCGGAAGCCGGGCAGGGGCTGCCAAGCCCGTGGCTGCCAAAATCGACCTCCGGGAGAAGCTGTCTTCGTCCCTCCGGGAAGAAGCCCTGAGGCTGTTTCGCGTGCCGCGCCTCATGCCGGGAAGCTGTTTTCTCCTCCTGGGAGGGCCGTTTTAGCAGCCACGGTTTTAGTCGGGGATGGACAGACCTCCCTTTAGTAAAACGTGGTTTAGTGAAAACGACCTGAGGCCCAAACCTGGCGGGCGCAAGCCTGGAAAATAACGGCCACGGCGCCCTCTCGAGAACCGAAAACGGACAATTCACTAATCGACGTGTCACTGTTGGGGGTTCTGTCCAGCCACGATTTAGCAGCCCGCGCCCAGCTTTCGAGCCTCCGCGGCGAGCGCGGCGGGCGGTGGCACGGCGGCCCCGGGCTCGCCCTCGGCCCCGGCCCCGGGGCCGCCCGGGTGGAGCACGGCGGCGGGCAGCGGAGACGGAGGCCACATCTGTATGGAACGCATCCTTCGGCTGTACGCAGGAGCGACCCTGAGTGTAAGAGTGACCTCTGGTGCGCGGCAGTAGGGGGGCGCGGGGGCTGGGGGGAGTTCAAAAGATTGCCCCCAGGCCGACCCGCGGCTGGGGAGAATTCAGAAGATTGTCCCCGGGCCGACCCCGCGGCTGGGGAGAATTCAAAAGGAGGCAAGCCCAGGCGCGCAAGCCGCTTATATCGCGGCGCGTGCGGCGATTGGGGAACTCATCTGGGCCCGCACCAAAGGTCGCCCTGGCGAAAGGTCACTCTTACGTCGAGCCGGATCCTGGAGATCCACTCCGGAATCTCGCTCGCGGGAGCTGGCGGATACAGGTTCTGCAGGCCCCGGCGCTCGCCGCCGAGTTCCTGTGGGAGCATGCTTGCAGGGACCAGCTGCAGCAGCCGGTCCAGCGCCTTCTTGTCGGACGTGCTCCCCAGCATGATCACCTTGCTCTTCTGCTTAGCAGTCATCATCAGCGAGAATACACCCCACACCAGGCGAAACACAAACGGTGCATTGAGCATAATGAAGCAGGCATCGTGTTCGCAATATGGGTGCTGCATCGACTGCATCATTCCAATCAAGAACTCTTTCATTTTTGGAACGAAGATAGGGACCTTACGGCCATCTGATCCCATACCGTTCAAGTCAAGTACCTTGATCACATACAACATCTTTTGCTGACGATGTGACTCGTTGTCCAAGTGCCACAGCGTCCACTCCATCCATGCGTTAAGCAGGAGAGCATCCTGCGAAAGAGGTATGTCTGCACGTTCTTCTGTGAATTTTACAGCATCTACCTGACCTGGGCGACCAATCATAAGAGCCGCATGATCTGGGGTCATGCCAGCCCAAGGGCAGACGACCAAACAAGGATGGCAGCGCTCACTAAACCAAGTCATGAAAGCCTCGGGGGAAAGGCCAATTACCGTGGGACGTATCTGAGTCTCAATCTCAGGGCACTCTTCGGTACGTTTCAGGAGGAATTCTCCATACCACGATGCAGCTTCCTTCTCGTTGTGATGACGCGCTCGCAAGAAGCGAACGATGCGGAGATCCCCGACAACGTCCCTGGCTGCATCTTTTAACTTTGCGATCGCATCCTTGTTGACCTCGCGAATGCGGCCAGCTGCGGCAATTTCATCATCATTCGGCCAATCCGATGACACGGCAGGAAACTTCGAATCTGGAGCAGGTTTCTTTCCAACCCAACTCATTGTAAAGTGCTGACCATCTACAGCATGAAGCCCTGCGTTTGAGTCAGAATGGCTTGAACTACGCTCGATCAGTGCGCAATGTGTTTGCAGAGACACGGAGTCCAATAGCGGTGGCCACCTCATACAAACGATGGTCTGGGTATTTCTGTTCGATGGCCAGAACGCGCACGAACCAGGATCACCCCTGCTGGCGCGCTTATTCAAAAATGCGGCTCGCAATCGTGCAATCGACTGACATCTAATTAAAGGAGAGAGAGGAGAGAGAGAGAGAGAGAGAGAGAGAGTGATCCACCGCCGCTTTACTGTGGAAAATTGCCGCGCTTTTCCTCCGGAGCCCGGGGTTCCCCCCCCCCCCTCCCGAAAATCCCCCCCCCTGCTGGACCCCCCCCCCTCCTTCCCCCGGCAAAACCCCCCCCCCTCCCCTAACACCCTCCCCCCCCCCCCTCGAACTCGAAAACCGGGGGGGGTCACTACCGGTTCGAACCCCCCCCCCCCCCTCGAAAACCCGAGGGGGGGTTACCGGTTCGAACCCCGGCCTCCCCACCTCCCCTATCACCTCCAGCAAACGACTCCCGGTCCCTACCACCGTCCTCACCACATCCCCCACTGTTGTTCCCAGCGCCACTGTCCTCACCACCACTGTCCCCACTGGTTCCACCACCGCCCCTACTGTCCCCACCAGTGCCACCACCACTGTCGCACTGTCCCCCACTGTCCCCACCACTGTTCCCACCACGGCTCCACTCTCCCAACTTTCTCCACGACTATCCCCACTGTCCCCACTGTCCCACTGACTCCTCCGCTGTCCCACTGAGCTGTCCCACTGTTCCCACCACTGTCCCCACTGTCCCCACCACTGTCCCCACTGTACCTCTGTCCCATTGTCCCACCGCCGTCCTCGCCACCGCCTTCACCACTGTCCCCACCACCACTGTACCCTCCACTGTCCTACTGTTTCCACCACATTCCCACTGTCCCCACACCACTGTCCCCACCACCACCGTCCCCACCACTGTCCCACTGTCCCCACTGTTCCCACCATTGTCCTCACCATTGTCCCCACCACTACCGTCCCCACCACTGTCCCACTGTCCCCACCACTGTCCCGCTGTCCCCTCACCACTGTCCCCACCACCACCGTCCCCACCACTGTCCGCACCCCCCTCGGTTTTCGAGGGGGGGGGGGTTCGAACCGGTAGTGACCCCCCCCGGTTTTCGAGTTCGAGGGGGGGGGGGTTCGAACCGGTGACACCCCCCCCCCCCTTTTCATGATGAACTGGGGGGGGGGGGGAGGGTGACCCCCCCCCCGGTTTTCCAGAGGGGGGGGGGGAGGGGTTCGAACCGGTAGTGACCCCCCCCGGTTTTCCGCCAGCAGCGGTAGAACACGCTCTTTCAATTAAAGGGATGCTTCTGCACAAACGCCTCTAGCTCCTGCTCGGGTACGGGGTGCATGGCATTTACGCTGATACCATGCTGCCCGCAGTCGGCCTCCAAGGCAGCGCAAGAGGCTGTTAAGACAGTGTGGGACGCCCACAAAAGGTCCCAAGATAATGCGGGATGACGATTAATAAAAAATGGGGGGAACGATTAACAAATAGTTTTCTGTTTTTTCTGCACAAGTTTCTGCCTGGAGGAGAACGATTCAAACAAATAGTTTTCCAGCCCGCGGCCCGTTTTTCTAATCGTCATCCCGGGCGCCGCCGCGTGAACACGACCCCGGGTCATTTATTAATCGTCATCCTCCATTACTCCTCAAATGCTCCTCAGCGGTCTCCAGCGGGGCTCCACAACCCCAAGGAGCCCCGAAGACTGCAGACGACTCCCCTCAGAAGGCCCAGGAGTGACCTGGCAGGCGCACGATAGCCGAACAAAACTGCACGAGAAGCAGGCCCTGAAGGAGACGCTACACAGACGGGCTCGACCATGACAAATTTCAACTCGACGGAACTATCAAGACCGAAGGCAAATGATTCGGACCGCCCCCCTCCCCCCTTCGCCCACATGTCGCACTCCCCTGGGCCCCTACCCGCCCCTCGCAGTCGATGGTGTGGATGATGAAGCAGATGTGTGGCACAACCAAGCCGGAATGGACCTTGATGGCACCGCGTCCTCGAGTGACAGATGCCCTGAAGAACCCTGGAATGTCTCAAGATCAAACTCAACGAGGCTCTGAAGGTATACAGCGGAGAATTCGTTGCCCCCTCCCCCGTCCACCCGCCCCTAGCATCCTCCCAGCCCGTCCCCTTCCAATGTGATGGCACGAAGCATCGGACATGCGAGGATGCCAGAAAAACCAAATGACGATGCTAATGATGGCTTTGTCTCGGAAGAGATTGTAAGATTTGAGGGCAATAACGGGGGATTAGACTCCGCAAGGATACCCGCCACATGGGCGACAGATGACATAGCCGTTTCGCGGCGCCTTACGCAGGCCACCGACGAGGCATGCTACATTGGAGACGGGGGCGCGTACATGTGATCCTACGTGGGCAGCTTGCGCATTAATGTCGGCGAAGACGACCCCGTCTTTCTGCGCCGCTCACATAGAGATGTAGAGAGAGAGAGAGAGAGAGCGAGAGACAGTTTTTTTAATACATGCAGATATACATATATAAGAAAGAAAGGAAGCATAAACTAAGAAACTGAGAAAACCACCGCCGCGCCGCGAGGCACTGAGTGGCGTGCACGCAGTACCCTCCGAGCTCCCGGTGCTGAGCACTGCACAGTGCTCCGCCGCAGAGACCTGGGCGCTCCTGGAAAGGGCGCTCCTGGGCGCTCTCGGACGGGCGCCTCGCGCGACTCCTCTCCCGAGGCCTCTTGGAGCGCATAGCCTGGGGCATGCTGGCAGTGGCGCACGTCCTTGCTCGGAGCATGAATTTTCGGCGTGCTCCAGGATGATCCCTGTTTTTTTTCTGAGGTCTGTCCTTCCGGGCGCCCGAAATATGGGCATGAGGAGAGCGGGCACGATGCCCAGCAGCACATGTTGTCCAAAACCGAAAGCAGCCGCTGTTTAGGCAGGCGGCCTTCTGTCTCAAGTGGACATCGACCGCGGCGACGCCAACAACGAACCCTGTTCAGAATGAGCAAGCACTGCTGTTGGACTTTGTACCCATCCTATCCGTGCCCATTTCGATCGTCCCGATGTCTCCCAGGAGCTCGTTCCATTATTTTCGGCGATAGTGGGCATTATGGGGGGGAGGGGGAGGGGCCAGGTTGAGAGTATAATATGACGTCTCCCCCCCGCCGTGTGCACGGCGGCAGTTCCCGGAGCGCACTGGTGGGGGATGGGGCGTTACGTTATGGGGGGGGAGAGGGGGGGCTGGGGGCTATAATGCCCCTTATGCCCCGAGCCATAAAGAAGCACGTTCCAGCCGCATCGGGGGTTCATGGTCCCGGCCCGGGAGCCCTTAGGCCAGCCCAGGAGGCCAGAACGGTTCGACTCCCACACGGTCAGGAACGTTTGCTTCGAGGGTCGCGGCGGCGGCCCTGGCGACGCGCTGGGCCCCGCAAGCGGATAGCGTGTCGCTCCGCTCCGCGGTGGCGGCAGGCTTCTCGGGGGTCCCCAGACGGGGTGGTGACCACACCGTGTGGTGAGTCGGTGGGGATTCGGGGTCACCGCACGGTTTTGGGACTCGGGTCGTTCTCCGAGGACGTCTCGGGCGACTGGGGCATTCGAGGTTCCAAAACCGTGCGTTGACGGACCGTGCGGTGAGGTCTTGAAAGATTTCGAGGTCACCGCACGGTCTGTCACCGCACCGTTTCGGGACTCCAAACGGTGGCGGGAGGCTTCGGGAGGCCCGGGACGTTGACGTTCAGGACGGGACGTGGTTAGCGTATCGCGACGAAGCGCGGTGGGCCAGAACCAGCGAAGGCAACCGCTCCTACTACACTGTCCTACAATTTTCGCACATCTACCTTTTCTGCCTCGAGAACGTCCAAGACGGCCTAAACGGCTCCCAAGATCGCCCCAAGAGACGGCTTTAGAGCCCAAAGAAGCGCCCGAGAGGCCGCGAAGACGGCCTCAGGAGGGGCCAAAGAGGGGAACTCGAAGTGACATTCGAAACGCCCTACCCCCAAGACGCCCCCAAGATGCCCCAAGGGGCGCCCAAGACGAGCCCCAAATACCCCACAGAGGCCTCCAACAGGCCCCCAAGAGGCATCCCAAGATACCCCAGGGAATATCCAAGAGGCCTCTGACCCACAACCCAGGCACGTTCGCGGGATGGGCCGAAGGCCTGATAACAAGAGATCATAAAGTGAGATAGCGAGTGGCAGATACATAGATGTACATGAACTCTGTAAACGTTCACGGCAGGCTCGGGTCGGACGAAGGGGGGATAGCGAAGGGGCGATTAGTAAATCAGCTGATCTTCCTGGCACCTCCCAGCTCCAGAGGCGCCAGTGTATCGAGGAATGCGCCTGGCGGCGGGGCCGAAACCAGGTGCACGCAGCAGATTTCGAAACTCACCCTTCCCCCCCCTTCCCCCCCCCATCCACCCCCTTCATCCGACCCGACAGGCCCTGAATCGGCATGTCCGCAGCGACGCGGCGTGCACAGAGGCTCGGCTGGCGTCGCGGGACAGGCTCCCGACCTCCTCGGCCAGAGAGGGGGCCCGAGAAGCCAACTCCCATGTTGCCCAGAGGCGAGCAACGGGCGAACAAAGACTGGGCCGAGGCATGAGCGTGCACAGGGAGCGGTGAGCCCTGCGAACAGTCTGGGCGAGTCGCGCCCTACAGTCGACCCGTACCATCAGGATGCACGATACGGGTGCAAGGGCCTTGGATGGCCATGTCGACACTTTGCGAGTGGGGCGCGGCCAGGGAAAGCGGTCGAGGATGGGCCGAGAAGGCAAAGTTGCAAGGGTACCCTTGGGAGGGTTGCCCATCCTTGCTGTGCGGATTGACTGTAGTGAATTCCCTCGTTTGCGCCCAGTCCTCGGCCCCCTCCAGCCACCTCGCTCCTCCTCATCCTCCTTCTCCTCCTCCTGGATCCTCGACCCTCCTCCTCGATCATCGATCCTGAGCCTTTCTCATCGATCCTCTTCCTCCTCTGTCTACGATGGTAACGATGGCAATGATGATGATGGGGACGGTGACGATAGTCATGATGATGTTGATGCTGCTGATGATGACGATCACGATCAGGTGTTGATGAGGCTGATGATGATGATGATGATGATGATGATGATGATGATGATGATGATGATGATGGGCATGGAAATCAAGACGATGCTGACGAAGATGCTAATGAGGATGATGATGATGATTGAGATGATGCTGGCGATGATGATGATGCATGTGCTGATGATGATAATGATGATGATGGTGATGCTGATGATGATGATGGTAATAACGGTGTACCTCCAGAGGGGCATCCGCCCGCAAGGAGGACTGGTACATGTAACGGTGATGATGATGACGATGAAGGTGATGATGACGATAGCGATGCTGGTGGTGATACTGATGGTGATGATGATGATGATGATGATGATGATGATGATGAGGTTGCGAGCGATTGTGGATGGTATGGGGAAGGATGATGACACTGCTGATTGGTAATGGTTGAACGTGGTGACGATTATACTGCTGATGGTGATGGTGATGGTGATGGTGATGGTGATGGTGGTGGTGGTGGTGATGGTGATGGTGATGGTGATGGTGATGGTGATGGTGATGGTGATGGTGATGGTGATGGTGATGGTGGCGATGGCAATGATGATGCTAAAGATGCTAACGATGATGATAATGATGATAATGATGATGATGCTCACGGTGATGATAATGATGATGATGCTGATGATGATGACAATGATTATGATGCTGATGATGATGTTGATGATGATGATGATGATGATAATGATGATGATGATGATGATTAGGATGATGATGATGATGATGATGATGATGATGATGATGATGATGATGATGATGATGATGATGATGATGATGATGATAGGAGGAGAAGTGAAGGTTTCCTGCGCGGGGTGTCCACCAAAAACAAAACCCCCAGCTTAGGATGTGGAGGGTAAATCCTTGTAGCGACCTATGCGGAGGAAACCTGTGATGGGTCTTGGGTCTGCACTGGTCCGCGCGATCGTGTTTTCCTCAACACGGAGGTCGCCACGGAACCGTTGACCGACAGCCTTAAGAGCCAGCAGTGCCCTTGCAACGAAAGTAGATGTGCTCGCGAGGTGATCCCCCCAATAAGTCTGACTTGTCCGATTTGTGACGAAGAGTTCGTGGATGCTGCGCCCTGGTTCAGGCATTGCAAACCTCACCTGTCACCGTACGTACCACCTCCCGTTCACGTTCGCGAAGTGCACAAGCAGAGCACGAGATGATATTCCATTATGCTACTTCCCAGCGGGAGAACATTGTCGGCAAAGCTCTAGGGCAGCAACTGGGTCCCAGTGCTCTGTGCAAGAACTCATGAAGACAGACGGAGAGGGAAAAACGCGGCTGCTACGATAGAGGTTCAAGAGTTCCGCCGTGGACGGAGGCAAATCGAAGAAGATGGAGCAGGCTCTCGACAACTCGGAGGACATGGACGACGTGACAACGATCCCCACGATGAAGAATCGAATCGTGCATCTGGAGGCGCGGGTCAGGCTTCTGGATCACGAGGCCATGAACACAGCGCTGATGGACAGAGCACATCGAATAGCCGTGAACGTCAACAAATCGTACGCAGAGCACGCCAAAGCGAAGAACGCTGGCCCAGCGGAATCTTGGATCGCCACATTGCCAAAGTCTCTACGCCATTCTCTCCGTGTTATCAGTTAGCAGTGCAAGGGCAGTTCGGCGAGGTTGCCAGGGGCTGAAGCTCGCAGCCGATCGCATCATGAAGACGGTGGAAAGGGTAGTCCCCAACACAACAGGACTTTGGATAGAAGAAGCGTCAGTGTTCCCGGCGTTCGATCCACCGAAAAAAAACCCAAAACATCACCCCTTTCGTTCAGCTTGCAAGGGTCAACACTGGTGCCCGACGACAAGAACCTCGACAAGGATATGCTTCTGTCCCTACAGGCTCCAAATCATCCACTGCACCAGCTCATTCCGCTTGAGGTGCCGACGGGGTTCTTCCAGCAGGGAGGCAAGAAACTGAGCATCGAGTCGAGCGTAGTTGAGCTTGCACGGGCATGTGGAGGCAGCATCACGATGAGCCGTGCCCCGCGGGGCAACACGGCTCGCAAGCTGATGAGCCAAGGCCCATAATCAAACGCGCGAGTCGTCTACCAGTGTTGGGTCTTGCTGTGCACGCAGGCTGTGTGCCTACACCGATCAGAAGTCTTAAGATAAGCATTAAGGTTCATGGATTCCAGACTTCTTTCAAGAAAATTAAAAGTCTGGACTGGATCCTGGCCGTTGCCTTGAAGCTTCCTTTCTTCGTAAAGTGCTCAGAGATATGCCTGGACTACGGTTTAAAGAAGACGCTGAGGGCGACGCCCAATTTCACGGCCTAGAACTTCTTGATTCTGGGCAGGGGTGTCCGTTCCTCGTCGCCGCTCCCTCCCTGGACTCCCCAGGCGTCCCTGGCCCAGCGGGCTCCTGAGGCGTCGCTCTGTTTGTCTTGTAGGAACTGCGCAACAAGTTCTGGTTCCCAAATGCGAAGCAAAGAAACGTCGCATCACGATATGGTTCCCGTACCCCTTGGGCGAGGGCGGTGATCAACGGTCTCACGCCCGCCGGTGTCGGTGCTGGAGTGCTGGAGCGCATCCGTCTTCAATGCTCGCGGACGGGGTCATGCTACATGGACTACCTCTTCACGCTCCTCTGCTTCTTCCTCTAGATGCGAGATAAGCGACAAGCTGAACTTCCCCCCTCAACTCGATTTTGTGTGCCCTGTCCCTTGTGTTCAACGGACAGCTCCCCGCGCAGGCAGCGAAGTGCTGCATCTGCCGCGCGTGCGGCTCTCAGAGCTGGCAGGTAGAACGGGGTTGCATAAAATTGCACCCGCCCGCCCAAGTTCTCCGAGGAACGGGTCGAGTTGACCTTGATCTGAGTTGATGAAAGTGAGCGGGTCTCTCTCCCTCCTCGTCCTCCTCCTCCTCCTCCTCCTCCTCCTCCTCCTCGTCATCCTCCTCCTCCTCCTCCTCCTCCTCCTCCTCCTCCTCCTCCTCCTCCTCCTCCTCCTCCTCCTCCTCCCTGCTCCCTGCTCCTCGCGCTGCGATCCTCATTCCCCATCGTTATACGATCAGCAACGCTTGCTCAGCGTGTCGCGGCGGCGGCCCTGGCGACACGCTGTGCCTTGCGAGCGGATGGCGTGTCGCGCCGCTCTGCGGGGCGGAAGGCTGAGAAAGGCTCCGACCGTCGATGCTCGGGACCAGGACGTGGTTTGCGCGACGCGCCGAAGCGTGACGGGCGAACCAGCGACGCGACACGCTAAGCAAACATTCCTGAGCGTATGCTCCACTCCCCTTGCTACACCTACTCCTCCCCCTCCCCCTCCCCGTCCAGCGCTCCCCCTCCATGTCCGCCTCCCCTTCTGCTCATCTCCTTCTCGTTCTCCGCCTCCCCCCAAACACCATAGAATCTCAAATACCCAGTGCAATCTTCGAGCGCATCCAGAAGCGCTTTACAAAAACTGTCAGATCGCCTAAAGCCATTGGCCTTGTTCCACTCATCCCCTCCCCCTCCCCCACATCCCGAAGATGCCCTCAAAAGGCCGAAAAGAAGTCTCAGGGGACCTCCAAAATGTCCCCCAGAGACCCCCCAGTAGCCCGCAGCAAGCCCCTTGGAGGCCCCGAAGAAAGAGCCCCAAGAGACTCCCTGGAGGGCCCCTCCTCGTCATCAGTATCATCTCCCTCCTCCCTCCTCCTCCTCCTCCTCCTCCTCCTCCTCCTACTCCTCCTCCTCCTCCTCCTCCTCCTCCTCCTCTTCCTCCTCCTCCTCCTCCTCCTCGTCCTCCTCCTCCTCCTCCTCCTCCTCCTCCTCCTCTTCCTGTTGAACCAGTTGAGCGCCGCCACAGCCCCCCGCATCCGAGGCGCAAGAAACCGAACAATAACAAATGACGCGTTTCCCGTGCTGGCGGCCTCAGGCCGCAACACACGGAGGGGCCATCACGACGCGATAGTGGAGAAGGCACCTGCCTCCCTCCTCCTCCTCCCTCCTCCTCCCTCCTCCTCCTCCTCCTCCTCCTCCTCCTCCTCCTCCTCCTCCTCCTCCTCCTCCCCCTCCTCCTCCTCCTCCTCCTCCTCCTCCTCCTCCTCCTCCTCCCCCTCCTCCTCCTCCTCCTCCTTTTCTTGCGCAGGCTGCCGGCGGTCAAGCCGCTGAAGCGTCAACCTCCTCCTCCTCCTCCTCCTCCTCCCCCATTGCCCCCAACGATGCCCCCCCGGGGAGGCGGGGCCTGGCCACGTGCTCCCGCGTGACCCTGGGATCCCTGTAGGTGCTCGGCAGGAGCACGAGGTGCCTGGCGGCGCACGTGGGGCCAAGGGACCACCCGATGGGGGGCACGGGGGACCATCCGATGGGGGGCACGGGGACCATCCGATGGGGGGCACGGGGGTGGGGCAGTCCTCGAGGGAGAGGCAAACGCCAGGAACAGAAACTCTTGGCGCTCCGCGCGGATGTCTGGGAACCGCGCTGGGCCCCCGCACCGGCGCGCTCCGCGCGCCCAGGGAGGGGGGGTCCAGCGCAGATCCAAGAAATCCGCGCGGTGCGCGGCGCTGCTGTCCCCATCCGACTTGAGGACCTCGGGAGCGGCCAAGAGGGGGGTGTCCAAGAGGGGGGGGTGCAAATCATGACCGGCGGCATGTGCGCGGCCCAGCGGGGGGGCCAGGGACGTAATGGAATAAGAAGAGGCGCCATGAGATCTGGGGAAATATCATGGCCCACGCCATGATATCCACCGCCCCCTAGTCATCACCCCCCTCTTTTCCGCCCCCGAGGACCACATCCCAGGAAGCATTTCGAGCACCCGGAAGAGTGTCGAAACAGCGTCGAAGCAGTGTCTCCCAGGGCCCGACAGGTGAAAGCCCTTGAGTCTCGGCACTTTCCTGGGCGCTCGAAACTCTTCCTGGTGATCAAGGCTAAAGTAGGTTGGAGCATCATAAGCCAAGACGAGCGGGCGTCGGCAACGATGGGGGAGCTCGAACGGGTTGGAGTGCGCTCTTGAAGTGCGGCGGGCTCGTGCGGCGTCGGCGCGCGCGCGAAGGTTTTGGACGCCGCGTCGATCGTTCAGCCTTGAATCGATCACCTCCCCCACCGCTCAAGGTTGAACTCCGTCGGATCCACTGGCGTCACTGTGTCTCTCGGTGCTTCCGCATCGCCATGCTCAACCTTGAACGCCTTCGCCAGCGACGTCGCCGCGCCAACGCCGCACTTGCCTACTACCGTATCTTGGTTTCCGGGCCGTCCTAGCAGGAGGGAGAGGGGGAGGCGTCCACGGTCCAAGCACGGTGGCGGGGTGGGTCGAGCTGCCACGGTCAGGAACGTTTGCTTAGCGTGTCGAGGCAGGCGGCCGTCCCGGCGACACGCTATGCCCTGCAAGCGGAGAGCGTGCCGATCCGCTCCGCGGGGCGGGAGGCTGGGAACAGCTCGGGACGCTGACGCTTGGGAATCGGAGGGTGGGTAGCGTGTCGCGCCGAAGCGCGGTGGGCCAGAACCGGCGGAGCAACACGCTAGGCCAAGGTTGCTGACAGTACATCCACCGCACCTCGTCGACTTCTCAAAAGGAGTGCACGGCGTGCTGGGCGTCACCCGTGCGAGCCCTTCCGAACTGTTCCCGGTGGGGTATTGGCCGATCCCGCCAGGCCTGCGGAGCTCAATCGCCCAAGATGGCCCAGCGATGCCTCCAAGAAGGCAAAGTCTGCCTCCGGGTCGGTCCAAGATGGCTTCAAAGAAAGCCCAGATGGCATCAATATTGCCCAAGACGGGCCAGTTTGGCTCCAAGACGGCCCAAGATGGCCTGAAGGTGACCAAAGAGGCCCAAAACTTCTCAGAAGGGCTCCAAGAGGCCCTTAGGAGAGCCCGACATTCCATGATGTTCGCGTTCTCGCCTTTCTGGGCCTCCGACAGCCGAAGACGGCCCCAGAGGCCTCCAAGATAGCTCCAAGGCGGCCCAAGAAGCCCCCAAGAGGGCGCCAAAACGGGCCGGGCGCCAAGACGGGCCGCCAAGTCGTGCCAAGATGGCCCCAAGACGGCCCAAGAGGGCCTCAAGACGGCCACAAGAGGGCCCAGAGAGCCCCCCAAGACGGCCACCGAAGGCGTAAGAGGGGCCAATAGGGCCCTGGGACGGCCGAAGGGACCCCAAGAGGCCACAAGAGGCCCCAAAGAGGTCCAGCACCCCCCCCCCCTCCAAAGAGGCCCCTCCGAGAACCCAAAGAGGCCCCCAGGAGGCCCCAAGAGAGCCCTAAGAGGCCCCCAAGATGACCCCTCCTCGTCTAGCCCCACTGCTCCTCACCCCAAGGGGATGTGACCCACTCTGGGACGCCACTCCTGAGCTCGGCAGAATAAGGGGCTGATAGACAGTGCCCGCCCTCGCTATCATCACCCACAATGCAAGGTGCGATTAAGGACCTCCCCAAGCAAAAGGTGCCTCCCCGGATCCTTCGACCCGGAAGGACTGTCCAATGGCGGCCCGCCCGCTCTTAGACCTGGAAGCTTGGTCAGTTCTCCTCTTCCTCCTCCTCCTCCTCCTCCTCCTCCTCCTCCTCCTCCTCCTCCTCCTCCTCCTCCTCCTACCTCTCTCCCTCTTCCTTCCGCAAGTGTTCAACCAAAGGTTTCCACCCCCAGGAGCCCAGGAAAGTGGCGACAGTTGCGCGCTGCGCAGCTCACGACGAAGCCGCGAGGTCTCGCCTTGATCCGCGCTACCCTCACGTCCGCCGCGCCTCCCAGGAGCCCACGGAAGCGCTCCGCAGCCCCCGAGGGAGCTGCGAGGTCTCGACTGGATCTGCGTGGTGGCCCTCACCTCCGCCGCGACCCCCAGGAACACGCGAATGTGGCGACAGTTGGGCGCTCCGCAGCCCCCCCGACGAAGCCGCGAGGTCTCACATGGATCTGCGTGGCCCTGACCTCCGCCGTGCCGCCCAGGAGCCCACGACAGTGACGACAGCTGCGCACCTCGCAGCCTTCGAGGGAGCTGCGAGGCCTCAAACGGATCTGCGCGGTCCTCACCACATCGGCATTCCCAGAAGGGCAGGGAGTGGCGGCGACTCGCCGCAGGCGCCTTCGATTAAATGTTGCTATGGTATTGATTTCTACCATCGGCACACAGGCAAGTCAGACGCTGAACATATTGCTCATCACATAGTTTTCCACAGGAAGCATCTGGTGTTGGTCTGGCCAGAACCTCTGGATACGGACAATATTTCTGTAAGCGCGTCGTCGATCCACGAGGTGATGTCGTGAGAACGAATGCGGAGGATGGCACATTGTACTGAAGGAGGGGATGGGGCGCGAGGGAGCGAAGGAGGCGAAGAGGGGACCAGGAACACATGGAGGAGCCGAGGGAGGTAAAGGAACGCCCCCCTTCAAACACACATGCGAATCTCGCCCGCGAGCAAGGCTAACAAGTGGCTGGGAGGACGGCGGAGGCAGGAGCCACCTTGGAAGAGGGATGATCCCATCCCCAGCAATCTCTCTTTCACTGCGTCCACTCGTACACCGATCTGCGGACATCAGAGATCATGGCATTGATTTCAGAACGAGGGAAAATTGGAAGACACCAGACGTCCTGGGCGGCAGGCATCCAAGATCTGACAGCTCGCCAAGGGCATCTGAACTTTTCTCCAGACCTGTCCTGCTGCCCGATTGTGTATCTCTCGACGCGCCTGCAGGGCATCGATCCAGGAGATCCACAAAGCCGGAGCATGGCCACAGGGCCACGGACTAAGAATATGAGTCCCATCGCCGAGCGCACACGGCCGAATGGGGGCACCCCAAACGAGAGGACAATCCCAGGGGGAGAGCCCAAACGCGAAGAACATCAGGGTACCCTTCCACAGCCAGGAATGTCATTAGCCCTCGTGCCAAGAGCTAGGACGTCCACTCCCCGTGCAGTGTTTGGTCTCGTGCGTGTTTGTGTTCCTCACACTGGCCCACAATTCTCCTAGACGGTTCAGATTTTCTGGCGCTGGCCTCGACAAATACAATGCACATGTCCGAGCGGTGCCAAGTCGACTCAGGAGACGGGTACTTTGCACCAACTGAGCGACTGCAGTCAGGCCAACCCCGGCCGGCCGCAGCGGCGCGCCAGGACGTTCCGCGCCGCGGCTGCGGCTGCGGCTGCGCGGTCGAGTGAGCGCTGCTGCTGCTGCTGCTGGTGCTGCACCTCGACGGCGGCGCCTCGCGAAGCAGCGGGGGGGGGGGGGGCGCGCGCATGCACTGCACGGCACCGATCTGCGTTTAGAGTCCCTCTCTCTCTCTCTCTTTCCTTCGTTGTGCACCTCCCCCCTCTTTCTCTTATCACGTCTCTCTCATCTCCCTCTCTCTATCACTCTCTCTCTCTCTCTGTACCTCTCCCTCTCGCTCGATATGTATATATGGATGTATGCATGCATGCATGCATGCGTGCATGCACGCATGCATGTATGCATGCATGCATGCATGTATGCATGTATGCATATATGCATGTATGTATGTATGTATGTATGTATGTATGTATGTATGTATGTATGTATGTGTGTGTATGCATGTATGTCGGTAGGTAGGTATGTGTGTGTATGTATGTATGTGTGTAAGTGTGTGTATGTATGTATGTATGTATGTATGTGTATGTGTATGTGTATGTGTATGTGTATGTATATGTGTATGTATATGTGTATGCATGCATGCATGTATGCATGTATGTGTATGTATGTATGTATGTTTGTATGTATGTATGTGTATGTATATATGTGTGCATGCATGCATGCACGCATGCATGCATGCATGCATGTATGTATGGATGCATGCATGCATGTATGTATGTCTGTATGTATGTATGTATGTATGTATGTATGTATGTATGTATGTATGTATGTATGTATGTATGTATGTATGTTTGTGTGCATATGTGCATGCATGTATGCATACATGTTTATATATATGCATGTATGTAGGTATGCATGTTTGTATGTATGTATGTATGAATGTGTGTGTATGTATGTCTGTATGTATGTATGTATGTATGCATGCATGTATGTATGTATGTATGTATGTGTATGTGTGTATGTGTGTATGTATGTATGTGTGTATGTATGACTGTATGTGTGTATGTATGTACGTATGTATACATTATATGTGTGCATGAGCGCATGTATTTTTGTTTGCATGTATGCATGTATGCATGTATGCATACATGCTGTTATGTATGTGTACATGTATGTACGCACGTACGTATGTATGATTGTACGTGTGTGTTGTGCGTGTGCGTGTGTGTCTGTGTTTGGTGTGTTGTTGGGAAGTGCGTTTGTGTGCGAGTGTTTCGCTGTCTCTCTCTCTCTCTCTTGCTCTCTCGTTCTCTGTCTCTGAGGATCTTTCGCATTATACACTTATGTGTGTTGCGTGTGCGTGTGCGCGCGTGTGTGTGGTGTCATTGTGGTGTTCGTGTGTGTCTTTTGCGCTGTCTCTGTCTCGTTCTCTCTCTCTCTCTCTCTCTCTCTCTCTCTTTCTTTCGAAATATCGCTCGCACTCTCTCCCTATGCATATATATATGTGTGCATATATGTATATGTGTGTTGTGTGTCTGTGTGTGCGCGTGCGCGAATGTGTGGTGTGTGGTGTTCGTGTGTGTACGTGTGTGTGTTGTGTGTATGCGTGTGTGCACGTGTGTGTGTGTGTGTGGTGTGGTGTTCGTGTGTGTGTGTGGGTGTCTTTCGCTGTCTCTGTCCCGCTCTCTCTCTCTCTCTCGCTCTCGCGCTCGCGCCCCTCCCTCTCTGTATCCGCCACCGCGCCGCTGGGCCCGGCGTGGGCCTGCCCTCCGGGCCCCGGGCCCCGTCCTCTGCGCCTCGCGCGCCCCCTCGGGGCTTCCCGCGTGCCCCCCTCGGGCCTCGCCGGCTGGTGGCGCGCGGACGGGCCGAGAGGGCCCCGAGATGGCCTCGAAGGCGGCCCCGAGACGCCCAGAGATCGACCCAGGATGGCCTCGAGGTGGCCCCAAGAGGCCTCCAAGACGCCCCACGAGGCCTTCAAGAGGCACCCCAAGAGGGCCTCAATCGGAAACACATCGTTGATTTTTTCCACCAAGGCAAAGCATCGATGCATGTTAGAAGTGAAACGGCCCGCTGAGGACGCACAGCCAGTACGATACGAAATCTCCTTGAAACGTATCCGCTCCACCGGTGAGAAGACAAGAGGGGGCGAGGAAAGGGAGAGGAGGAGGAGGGGGCGGAGGAGGAGGAGGAGAAGGGGGCGGAGGGGGGGGGGTTGAAGGATTTGGGCGTTCTCGCCTTCGGCTTCCCGACTCTCTAAGACGGCCCAAGAGACTCCCAAAGCCACCCCAAAACGGCCCAAGAGGCCTCCAAGAAGGCCCAAGACGGGCTAAGAGCGCCCCAAGACGGCCCAAGAGGCGCCCAAGACTGCCTAACAGGGCCCAAAGACGGCCCCGAAAGGCCCACGAGGTTTCCCAACCGAGAATCCGAGCCTTCCGCCCGAAGAGGCGCCCAGGATGCCCCAAGAGGCCCCCAAGAGGCCCCCAAGAGGCCCCAGACGCCCCTAAGAGGCCCCCAAACGGCTCGAAGCAACCCCGAAACGGCCCCCAAGAGGCTCTCGCCTCCCACGAGATATCAACGAACGTCCCATCGGCTTCATACCTAAATCCAGACACGGTGGCGGAATGGGCCGAATGCCACCATACCTATACAACCACCCTTCGGGTGATAAGGAGGTTGTGGGGGGGGGGAGATGGGAGGGAACCAACATCTGACTCAATCGATCTCACTATCAATATCACTCAACGGGACACCACGGGACACCACAGGACACTTGTCGATCTCACTATTGATCTCACTATCGATCTCACTCAACGGGACACCACGGGACGCCACGTGACACCACGGGACACCGCGGGACATCTCTCGATCTCACTATCGGTCTCACGATCGATCTCACTGAACGAGACACCATAGGACACCACGGGACACCTCAGGACACCACATCGATCTCACTATCGATCTCACTATCGATCTCACTATCGATCTCACTCAACGGGACACCACGGAACACCACGGGACACCACGGGACACCTGTCGATCTCTATATCGATCTCACTATCGACCTCCCTTGTTGGTTACTTTTTGGGACACCACGGGACACCACGGGACACCACGGGACACCACATCGATCTCAGTATCGATCTCACTATCGATCTCACTCGACGGGACACCACGGGACACCACGGGACACCTGTCGATCTCACTATCGATCTCACTATCGATCTCACTCGACGGGACACCACGGGACACCACGGGACACCACATCGATCTCAGTATCGATCTCACTATCGATCTCACTCAACGGGACACCACGGGACACCACGGGACACCACGGGACACCGCGGGACACCGCGAGCCACCGCTGGACGGACGGACGTACGGGCGGGTGGGGGAGAACAAGTTGTCTTGACTTCGCCCTAGCAACGGCGGACACCACGGGACACCACGGGACACCGGACACCGCGGGACACCGCGAGCCACCGCCGGACGGGCGGGGGAGAATCATTTGTCTTGACTTCGCCCTAGCAGCGGCGGGTTCATTGCTCTCGCGCGCCCGCACAGCTTCGCCTTGCCCGCCACGCACGAGGGGGTCTCCGTTCCACTGCGATCTCACCCCCCCAACCTCCGATACGCCACCCCCTGTTGGCTTGCCACAGGGCTGCCTGGCGAGCCAGATTCCAGCAGATTTCTGGTTCTTGTGGAAGCCCCCATGAGGCTTCGGCCCAGCGCGCCGGCCACCCGGAAGATGTACATGTCAACTTCTTGTCTCGCCGGCCGAGATGGCCCGAGATGGCCTCCAAGATGCCTCCAAGACGGCCAAGATGGCGCCAAGAGAGCCCAAGATGGTGCCCATATGCACCCAAGACGGCCCAAGATGGCCTCAAGATGGCCTACGACGGCCCAAAAAGGCCGCAAGTGGCCTCTAAGAGGCCTCGAAGACGGCCCAAGAGGCCCCCAAGAGGGCCTCCAGGAAGGCCGAAGAGGCCGATATCGTATACTTTCCGAAGGTTTTGAAGGGTTATAATATTTGTTTATGTTCGGCCTTCCGACGACCCGAGACGGCCCAAGAGCCCCCAAAGATCGCCCTAAGATCGCCCACGAGGCCTCCAAGAGGGCCCCAAGACGGCCCAAGAGGCGCCCAAGAATGCCCAAGAGACCTCCAAGACGGCCCAAGAGGCCTCCAAGACGCCCAAGATAGCCTCCACGACGGCCCTGAAGGCGCCCAAGAGGGCCCCAAGTCGGCCCAGAGAGGCCACCGACACGGCTTCCGACGGCGTCAGATGGGCCAGGAACACCCTAAGACGGACAAAGAGGCCCCCGAGGAGCCCCCAAGGGCCCAAGGAGGAACCCAAGATGCCTCCAAGAGGCTCCCAGGAAGCTACCACCAGGAATCCCCAAAAGTGCCCCAGAGGCTCCCAAGATGCCCCCTCCTCCTCCTCCTCCTCTTCCTCCTCTTCCTCCTCCTCTTCCTCCTTCTCCTCATCCTCCTCCTCCTCCTCCTCCTCCTGATCTTCCCCGCCATCCTCCCCCAAGTGTTCCCCGAATGGTTTCCACAACGACTGGGGGAGCACATGATCCGATAGCTTGGCAGATCTCTTGCCACAACGCTCGGCCACATGGGCGATTCCAAAAGGCGGGATGCGGCGGTGGTTGGCCGTAGGCATCTTCGACACATGTATATCTACAAATACAACTCCATATATATATATATACAGAATGCCTTCAAAGATCCCACCATGTTTGCACGCCAAGGCCTCTACACAGATGCCATGTGGCAGGCGAGAGATGTTGCGTGAGCGAAGTGCTGCTCCAGGGTTCAATGACCTCTGGCAAGTGCGGAGCATGAACAGGTTAAGACAACACATCATTTCGCAACGAGCGAGATTCCCGAAATTACTTTGCTGCGTCAACGTGTGCATATACCTTTGAAGGCTTAGCTCAACCCTCAGCCCTGCTGGTGGCATCCCCCGAAGGCGAAGCAGTTCGGTAAAGCAGACAACGCGATCATCTCTGAACTTACATGGTCATCTAGCGACCTAAGAACCCGCCCACCACCGCTTGCCCAGAATTACATGGCGTGTGAAAAGGGTTGGCTATCCTTTGTTCCTTGCGTCTCTTCCCCAGCCCCCTGAGGAAAACTGACAAACAAATGCT